GCCCGTCGGGGGGGGCCGGGGAAACAGCGGGGGCCCCCCAGCCGTGTCCGGAGGCTCTGAGTGAAGGAGGATCTATCCACATCCATTTGGAAGAGCTTCCGGAGGCCAGTACCTCCTTGTTCCTTATTTCTGAGCTGAATCTTCCTTCATTCCATGCCCAGCAATGAGACTTCGTCATGGCTTTATCCTCTCGCAACTCACTTATAATTAGTGACGCCAACCGTGGGTTTAAAAGCGAGTACCGACCTTCCTTTCCATCTTCGTTGGGAGAATTCCCATCCCCAAAGATCTGCCTGGCTTCGCTATCTGCTGTCGTGTAGCCGAATGTCGTGACACAAATACCTCCTGACGTTGAGACAAGCTGGCCCCAAGCTCCCAGCCGCTCTTGCCGTACCTTTCAGCGATGGGTTTACTCCTTTAACACACCCAGGCCAAGCTGGTTCCCCCCTCCAGAGCCCCAAATCTGGGGATGGACACATTAAGACACATTTACTCAAGTAACACACGACGCCAAGCTGGTCCACCCCCCAGAGCCCCAAATCTGGGGATGGACACATTAAGACACATTTACTCCTGTAACACACCCAGGCCAAGCTGGTTGCCCCCCTCCAGAGCCCCAAATCTGGGGACGGACACATTAAAAACATAGACCTGACAAACAGAAGCTTTGCTTCCATATCCCGACCCAACTCCCAAGTAAGGAACGGGATAGTTTAGGAAGACGCTGATGGAAAACTCCCTGTCTTGTTTCACACTTCTGTTTTCTCTGTTATTTTTTATCCATATAGGTACTGGAGCAGCCCCTGGGTCCTTTCGTATTTCTGACCACCGTGATATCACCGGTCGCTTGAAGAACACATCCAGAACGTCGCTTAGCCGAGGCAGGCGGAGGAAAGCTTTGAGCGTGACGTGCTTCCAACTGGCCGACAGCCAGAGGGATGGAGCAGGAGGAGGAAACGCGGTATCAGAGCCGGGAACGGAGACTTCTTCACCTGGAAGGCACCCAGGCGATTCCTCCCGCTGCTGTTGGGACGAGGCGGTTAGCGAACCTCGTTTAAAGGCGCTGTCACCCACCCCGTTTCCATGAGAAGGGCAATCAGGTGAGGGAAGCACCGTCGCTGCGGCGTAACTCAATAACGCTTTCGGCATCGCAAGGCCCCGCACCCTCCCGTCTTCCCGGCTAAGCCCCGAAAACAAATCCGCTCTGCTTTGTACTAATTGAAGAAAACATTCAGCAAGCAGCTCATAAACACGGTGTCAGCTCGCATTACACAAAATTAAAATTCTCAGCCCCTCCAACACCAGGAATTCCTAAAGAGGCTGGTTTTAATATTGCCTGAATCCGTTTAAGTCAAGGTAATATTGTTTGGGTTGCCATAGGAACAAAATACATCCCCGTTGTTGCTGGCAGTGGGTTACAAGGAGGCTTGGGAGGCTGGGCTGTGGACGCGGCTGTGGGATGGCTGGCAGCGGCTGCCTGCAGAAACTACGCCGAGGGACGGGCCGAAAAATAAAGCGCGTTCCCCGGTTCGTCATGAAAAGCGCATTTAGGAAGAGCAGTGACGCGGGCGAGATCTCTGCGTGCTCCTGGAGAAGAGAACGGCCTCGGCAGTGGCAGCACCACCTCGAAGTGCCTGTAACTCACCTCCTCCCTCTTTCAGGAAGACCCTTACGCTGCCGGAGCCTCATTCTCCATGTGCCTCCACCTCTCTTTTGGCCAAGTCTCCCCATGTCCTTACTCTTTTTTCCTCCAAATCCCACCCGAGTTCGATTTCTGTTCCAGATTTCCTGACGGGAGCTGTGCTAACGCTATCAACATTTACTCCTGGACAGGCTGGAGAGCTGGGCAAAGAGGAACCAGTAACCATCCAGCCTGTAGAAGCGGGCGCGTGCACGCAGGTACATATCCCACGTCCCAGCTTCCCTCAAATTAATCACCTTTACAAATGATAGAATTTGATTTTCCTACTGGGCGATTGCTCGCCCGGATGGAAAAAGCATCTGTAGCAGGAGGGCAGATGGGCTTGCAAGTCGGGACAGCTTTGGGAATTGCCAAGGCGGCGGCTCGGGAGCAAGCGGGATGGTTCCTCACAAGTCAGCGTCGTGGGAGAGGCTTGGGGCTACGGGAAGACTTTTTGGCAGCTGGTTCTTCGCGCCGATGGACACGCCAGGCGAGAGGACCGGCGTTGCGGGTGGTGGAACAGCAGCCTGGCAGCTGAGGCCAAGCCCATCTGCACCGTTTGCCAACTCGGAGACAGCACGTGCCACCCAGGCAAGGATGAAGACACCGGGTACCTTCAAGAGGGCTTTGACGCTGGGCTGGCGGCCAAATCCCCCGGCTGCCCGCACTCTTCCTGCCAGGAGGAGTCCGGGGCCGGCTCCAGGGCCACGCGGCCGACAGGAGCACGTGCAGCAATGCCTTAAAAATCCCATTTCTCCATTTCTCTGCTACACCTGGGCACGACAGCACTGCCCAACCTCTCCTTGCAGCTTCCTGAAATCCTGGTCTCAACAGCAAGGAGCTCCTCGCTCCGTGAAAAACAGCTCCGTGCTTTGATTCCCCCACTCTACCTACAGCTTCGCTGTCTCTTTTTTTTTTTTTTACCATTAACAATTTGCTTTTCTTTTAATAACAGAACACCCAGGGAGTGCCCAGTGTGTAATTAATTCCCCTGTCCCGAGAAGTTCGGTGATTTTTCAAAGTGTGGAGCCGCGGGACGAGGAATCGCAGCGAAGCGACCGCGTGCCTGGCTTTCCCGCGCGGCCGAGGAGCTCTGAGAGCTTTCTACGTCCTTTCATGGACTTAATCGATTGGACTTTAGGCCTGGGAAAACACCCCGGGCGCCTAAATCTGCGTCAAGCCTTGCAGAGCAGCCCCGTCGCAGCTCGGGGACGACGGCTCTGCGGAAGCGGCAGCCCGGCCCCCGGCTCT